CACTGTATACTATATGTATGCATCTGATAACAATAGATAATGATGCAACTAGTAGGGTATTATTGTACTTTAATCAAAGTTGGTTTCCCTAATATGTTGCAATGTAAAAGAATGCTAAAAAAAATACAGTACAATGTTAGTAAATTTAAGTAAGAGGAGTGCTTTGATAAGACATACAAGGTAAATAATGCAACAATGAATAATTCTGGAAAATAAGATACAAGAGGGTTCCAGCTTGCAAATAAGTTGAACTTCTGGATTTTCAGTTTGCAATCAAATTTTGTACAGAAAACTGGTAGAAAGGCTGGTTATGTTTCACACATGTTTCTACTGTGGCTTGGCAATTTTAACATTCGAATTGACTCCTAAGTGCCCAATTCATAAGTGTAGATGTGTGTAGTTTTGGGAGTTTGTTAGCCGGGACCCTTGTGCAATAGCTGTAATGTTACCATAATTTGATGTAAGAAGTGTTATAATTACTTTGGTGAAACATATTTTGCTTATTATGACTTAACTTGGGATTTGCCTGTTTTTTTTTACCTACTTTTGAACTGATGACAACCATGCCTAAGTTTTCTTATGCATGTTAAGTACAAACTTTATTAAAACTAAATTCATTGCACTTGGCTAGAAAATTTAATTATCTCTGCAGAAGAATGTTAAAAACTGTGCTAAATTTATTCTTCATTATATTTAATACAGAAGAAATATGAACTATTCACCGACCTAGTTTGCACATCACTAGTGAGGCTTAAAACTGGCACAAAAAATTACTTTATAATTCATAGGTGAAGAAGGTATGCGTAAATAACAAAATGTAAATTAACCTGTGGTTGCACTAAATGACCCATGTACTTAGCACTTATTGTGAATATAGGGAAAGGAGGGGGGTGCAGTTTGAGGAGTCATTGGAAGTGTGATAATGCACTTCTGGCAAGACGTGGAAATACGTAGTGATGGCGAATGTGTTTGTTTCGCTGGGTCTCCCAGCAGTGGTGGGAAATAGCTGATGTAAAAACAAACAGATGATGAAACCTGTTAAATATTAAGTGTACAGTTAAAATATAGTTACAACAAATATTCCATGAGGAATTTTTTTTTTTTTTTTTTTTTTTTAAACCTGCTATTGGCTTAGCGCTTCTTTTTGATTATAATAATAATAATTAAACCTGCTATTTCTCACCAAAAATGCTGTATGACCCATGCAGGTCTAGTGCAGGTTTTATGAATAATCAATCAGCTTCACCATAATAAAACACTGAGTGTTAGCTAACTGTATTTCCAGAAGGTAGGGTACATATATCATGATTCCATGATGACTTCTGTATGGGTTGCCTGGACTGAGGTACATCAGGAAGGTAATCTTTGGGTAAATGGGTGTCTTACCTATACTGGACTGCTCTTACTCTCCCTACCCTTCAATCCCTTGAGGGACATTACTTGATGTCAGTGAGGGGCTTGTGATCCAAGGAATTGGACGTGATCTCCTTGTTCATGGATCAAACCTGATTGCCTTGCATTTCCCCCACATGCTGCATGATCCCTACAGATTAAGAACTTTTCCCCCGCTTTCCCATGAATATAATAACCCCATCTGTCACTCTTGGAGACCCCTTAGAGGACATGCAATGCAAGGCAAGACCATGTAGAGCTAGCCAATCAGGTTTAATATTAGGAAGGGAAAGGTAGTCTGAATTCCTTTAATCAAGGGTCCTTCATTAACATCTAGGAACCCCTGTTCAATGAAGGGTGTTCATACTGATGTTCTGCATTCTGGAATGTATTATGAAAATTCACAACTACAGTTTTCAAGCCAAGGAATATGTTGCTTTTCCAGTACCCCAACAAACAGAACGAATTGTGGTCCTGGTTTTTTCCACTAACAATGAGCTGTGCAAATTGTGTTTGGACTTACAAACAAGTGGTTTGTTACTCAGAACCTATTTTTCCCATAGAAAATGATAGCACATGGGATTGTTATTATCATCCATCACACTTGCACTGTATGACCCATAGAGGTTGATGTTTTCTTGTGAATTTAATCATGTGCCATACCTGTTCATAACCACAGATAAGAGTTTTTAATAGTACAATTACTTTCTAAAGGCTGCATTGTATTTTTTATGGACCCCATTAGTAAGTAGATTTTTGTAGGTTATTGATGCTCTGTGTATTGTGCCACAGCTATTGGATGATTTATGAACCTTAGTTTCTTTCACATTTGACTCACTTCTGTTAAGTGATTGTCATTTTCTTTGGGGCTGATCTTATTGTGACCTGTCGAGTCTTTTGTCCCAACCTCTTTATCTTTGCATGTTTAGATGCTCGGGGATTTAATCCATGTACAGCCTTGAGTTTCCACTCATTTCTGTATTAACCTCTCAATCTTTTTATCTTCTGTGGCTCTAGTGGTAGCATCTTCAGCTCACATCTGAAGGGCCAGGGATCGGACCCAATACAAGTGGAAACATTGGGCATGTTTCCTTACACCTGTTGCCAAGGATGTGACTGTTTCAGGGATCCTTTGATCCTCTTCTTGGGAAGAGGATCAAAGGACCCCAGTGGAAATAAGACAAAGTGACTTTCTTAGGTTATATTGCATTTCTAATCCGCCAAAGCTAATCTGAATAAAATCATCTAAACTTTGATGTAAGTCAAATATTCTTCACAAATTTTTTCGTTGTCATCACCCTGCAGTAATTGGAGCTACTCCCCCATACCTTGTACATATTAAACTGATTAAGGTCCATTCCCAAATGCTTTATGACCCCCTGCTAGTTTCAGTAATAAACATGTAATTACTTTGAACTCCCATAACTGTCCCTGGTTACAGTAATACTCCTAGTGGAAATTCTGGTATGTGTATGTGTTATTCAGCACTCCTTGCATTTATTTACCCACATGGGTTTAGCACTTAACATAATTAGATATGCCCAAAGGGGTATGCTTAAGTGTTTACCCAGTTTTATCAAGGTTTTTGTTTATAGCTAGAGAAAGTCTTGTCTGAATGGCTATAAATGTTCAACCCTAATGTGCTGAAATAAGAAAAAAGTGGAAATTTCCTAGTCAAGGCACAGAGTCAAATGCGAAGGGCACTGAGAAAAAAATAAGAATACTTGACAAAGGGAAAGGTTCCCGCAACTACAGTAGCTTATTAGCATGTGCAGGTGCCCGCTAGTCAATGTCATGTAGACCATTTCCAGATTTGATTTCCTTGTAATAATTCTGAAAGCTTCCTCAGAATGGCTAGACCTTAAAAGTTGATCTTATGGGATACCGGGATGCCTTTCTCAGATCACTGAGGTAACTATCAGGAATGTCAATATGCAAACACCTTGCTTGGATCGCATAATGATGACAACACATCAAATATTAATCTGATGACATCTTTTGATGAGTGCTGAATATTTGTGGTATAAACCATGTTAATACGTACCAGCAAGGTGGTTTATAAAGACACGAGAGCAAACACCAGGACATACTGGAAAACATTTTAGAACCTGACATACATATCTAGGCTGGAAGTAAGATGTGAGAGAGACTATTTTCATGCTATTTTGAAATAGCGTCAGGTAGCCCACGAGCCGACGTGATTCGTGTTTTGAGATAAGTTGGGCTTAGACTGGTTGAGCATCATGCATGCGTGTTTGTGACAGTTTGTAGTTTCCAGTATTTTGTTCCACGGTGCTGGTGATGGCAATTATAGAGGCTTAACCGTAGACACCGACGGCTCCTAGAAGCCTCAATAACTGCCACCACTACACCGTGGAACAAACAATGGCATACATGATACTCAGCCAGGCTAAGCCCAGTCTATCTCAACACAGGAATCACGTGATCTTGTAGGCTACGTATAAGGTATTTTCATTATTTATATATATATAAATATATATATATATATATATATATATTATTTATATATATATATATATATATATATATTATATATATATATATATATATTATAATGTTATAGTTATGTATGTATGTATGTATGTATACACACACATACATACATACATATGCAATAAGATCACAGTAAACAGGTGATTTCAGAATATGCAAAACAACCACCGTGAAAGAATAGAGAAATTCCAAGCGCTTTCGTGACTACTCACATTATCAACAAACAATCATTGTTCCTTGATAATGTGAGTAGTCACAAAAGCGCTTGGAATTTCTATATTCTTTCACAGTGGTTGTTTTGCATATATACATATATATACACTGTTATTCTCGACCTTTATATATTAGAAAGTAATCAAGGTCCCGGGACTGAAACGTCGTCTAATAAACATGTGCCTCGGTGGTCAAGTAACTGTGACCTGGAGCAATACACAAATATCCTGGACATTGGAGAGAGGAAGCTTACGACGACGTTTCGGTCCGACTTAGACAATTTACAAGTCACACAGTGTGACGTATATGGTCCAAGTCGGACCGAAACGTCATCATAAGCTTCCTCTATGTGCGGGATATTTGTGTACACTTCCCCATAAATGCAATAATAATAATGGGTGGGATTGTTGTAGTTAGGAAGGCCATTGAAGTACGACCTCTTAGGTGAGGTACCTTAATGTCGGTGAGGGGGGAGGGGAACCTGATCGAAGGCACTGTACTTGTCCTTCCTTGGGTCGAACATGATTACTTCTCATTCCCTAGGCGCAGGGTGGCCCCTTTTCGTTGAGCGTTTCCTCTCCCCAGAAAAAAAAAATATTAATTTGAAGAATGACGCCTGTTCTCTTCTGGCATGGCAGTTATTGAATGGGCGATCGGGATAGTAGTAATAGTAGTGGTGGTAGCAGTAGTAATAATAGTGGTAGCGGTAACAGTAGTAGTGGTAGTAGTAATAGTAGTGGTGATAGTAGTAGTAATAGTAGTAGTAAACTTTTACGAGACACTGATCGCTTTGGTGGGAGACGCTGGTATGGTAAAATAAAATAAAAAGTAAGGGAAAGGGGAAGATTGGAGAGTGACTGGAAGCTGTACTCTCCCACAGGAAGAGAGGATGATCCCAGCGCGTATATAACAACCCTCTGGCTGGATCACCATCACACTCACACCGGGTGTACCACAGTGGGTGTACCAGGTGGAGTGTGCTAGGCACATTGGGTATACTTAAACACAGTGGGTGAAGCAGTGTACCAGGCACCATTGGGTGTACCACAGTGGATATACCAGGTATACTAGATGTGCCATGCAGTAGATGTACCACACAAAGTGGGTGTACCCATACCTCAGTGCTAGACGAGTGATACACCAACCATGGCCACACTGAAGGTACGTCTTAACATTTTGCTTTATACTTATTTGAATAACAGCTATCTGTGGTTTTTTAATAAAAAACAAGTATAGTCTAATGTGATATTCGTACTTAAGGTTTTTAAAACGCTTAGTAACCTTCGATTGGTAGCTCACCTCACACATTAAGGTCCATGGTTCGATCCCTTGTATGGGTGGAAACATTAGGACGTGTTTCCTTTTAAGATACCTGCTGTCCCTGTTCACCTATCAGTAAAATAGGTACCTGGGTGTTAGTTCACTGGTGTGGGTCGCGGGGACAAAATTGACCTAATTCACTCGAAATGATCTTCATAACAAGGGGTTTTCTATATAGTATGTCACTGATGTCAGCTATGGTCTGTATACTTTGTACGTGTACTTGTAGAAATTAAGATTATTATGAACTGCATAGAGTGGAGGAGGCAGGATCCATATATAGCTTCAAGAGGTATGATAGGGTGTTCTTGACGAGAGGAAAGTAAATCCAGCAGCGGCTAACGAAGAGGCAGAGCCAAGAGCTGAGATTTGACCCTTGCAACTACGTACAGACAGTACTACAACACCGACCTCCATTACTTCCCTCCCTCTCGTACAACCTCTCTCCTTCCTACACCTCCAAACTAACTTTCCTCACCACCACACTGCTGTTGTATTCAATTTTGCTAAGTAAAAAAAAATATATATAAATACCTCCCACATAGATTTCCCTTCCTCCGACAAAACCTAAAAAATATCTTTTGTATCTGCCGTATGAACATTATTATAATCGAGAAGCGCTAAATCCGTTGAGGTTATATAGTAAGTTTTTTTTAGCTACAGGTACACATGAGTACAATTATCATACGTAGTGTAAATTACATAGGATAACCCCCCAAAAAGTCAGAGTGACTTGGAAAAGGGAGATAAGTTTCATTCGAGGAAAGGAAGAGTAGCTATGATTCTTATAATCAAGAGCCCATCACTAGTATCAAGACATCCCTCTCCACCTGAAGTGTTATATGGATAATCAAGAATGAAAATTCAGCTAACCTACTTCCGAAATGTATTGCATACTCATGTCTTTTTTTTTTTTTTTTTTTTTTTGTGTGTGTGTCTAATCGCTGTATAGTCCTTGTGGCTTAGCGCTTCTTTTTGATTATAATAATAATTTTGTGTCTAACAGTATTTTATTACATATAAATTACATTATCCGTATACTGTAGTAAATAAAAGTTTGAATTTGAGTGTTGGAGGGTTATTGTGTGGTGAAGAATGGGGTGGGAGGGAGTGAATGATGGGTAACTTTGATAACCTCATCTTTTAGTAAATATTTCATTATCGGCTTCATAATATTATGCACTCATAAAAATAAAATGTAGATCATACATAAAAAACTCTAAAATTTAATAAACGAATGTTTATGTTGTGGTTTATACACACGATAACTGCATTAGCACTTTCCCCCCGCAGGTGTTCACAGCTACTGTCTTTACGGTTCAGCTGCTGAGAGTAGAAGCTACAAGGTATGTCTGGGAGCACACTAGACGTCTCTCTTCTGAGCTTCCTCCACACAGGGATCGGCGAGACGGATCATCGATGATAACAGGTGTCTTGAACCCCCATGCGAGAACCCATGGTCTCCCTCCAAGAAATTATACCGGTTTCGACGGCTCATGGGGCTTGTCGAAGTCGAGCGGTCGTCGAAGTACTGCAAGTCGCCAAGCACGTTCTAAGAATGTAAGTCGAATGCAACCCAGCACTAGGGCAGACGAAGAAGGAAGAAAAAGAAAGCACTTATTCTCACCCTACCAGAAGGAAAGACAATCTGTCTCTGTTCCAGGAACAAGCAGGTTAGAGTTGCCTCTTGTGCGGCGCAGAAACAAGACTTTCAGGAGTGATGCAAGGGCAGATTCCTCGATTGATTCTCAAAAGTCAGATGCACAACATAGCCACTCTTCCGAGAGAGACTATTCATGGATAAATTCCCCGGAAAACTCTCATCTGATGAAGATTAGGGACATTTTGAAGATCGAAAAGGAACACTTAATGGATGAACCAGAACAAAATGAAGAGAAAGTTCATATTTACAACAGGGATGGAAAAGACGGAACAAATTTTCCAGCCGATGACGATAATTTAAGGCAAGGAAGCGTTTCTTGGGAGGGAAGAAGCCTTGGAGGGTGGGGAGGCAGAGTTGAGAATCACTGGATTACAGACAGTCACCAAGCCAACACCCAGAGTACCGCTCCGAGTAGGACCCAACAGGCCCAACACACCCCCGCTGATTCTGCCTTGCAGTTCCGCCCTAGAAAACGGAATAAAAATATTCACAATTGCACTAGTCACCTGGATCAACCAGAGAGCAGTAGCGGATCTGGACAAATAAACGCCCAGACAGACAGTGCTAGCAGTGCTCAACCCTCCATTTTGACAAGCACGCAAGAGAGCGTGTTTGTGTCAGCTATGTCAAAAGAAAATAGAGTTACCACAACAGATTCGACAAGGAAGAAAGTTGAGAAAGGAAGCTCGGATGCTATAGTGATCCCGGCTCCAGCCAAGCGAGACTCAGGTGGTGTGCAGGTAATAAATTCGAGCATGGCAATCATCAGCACTGAAGGGAAGTGGAACGAAACCATGATGGAACCATTATCATCACATAGTGCTAAAAACTGGTCTGTTATCACGAAGAGTAGCGTAGATAATATAGGCCCTAATTTCTATAAGACTTTCTCCTCCACACCAAATAGTGAAAGTTCAGTGAAAATTATTAATCAAGCCATCGATTTTACTGAACAAAAACAACGCAATACAGAAAATAGGTACAAACAGCCTATAAAAGAAGTGAATAACGTCACTACTCCATGGGTGACTAGCGGACATGAACACCAGCCTCGTCATGACTTCAGTTTTTTTAAATTTAATGTAACTGATCATGAAAATTCCTCAAGATCTGACCAAGATGAAATACAAACGTTTCCACTGAAGGAAATTCAAACAGGTCAGTAAAACTAAAACATTTGTAATTTTTATAGTCAGAAAGAAGCACTTAACAGGCAGGGGTATAACACAGGTAGTGGAGGAGGTATAACACAGGTAGTGGAGGAAGTATAACACAGGTAGTGGAGGAGGTATAACACAGGTAGTGGAGGAGGTATAACACAGGTAGTGGAGGAAGTATAACACAGGTAGTGGAGGAGGTATAACACAGGTAGTGGAGGAAGTATAACACAGGTAGTGGAGGAGGTATAACACAGGTAGTGGAGGAGGTATAACACAGGTAGTGGAGGAGGTATAACACAGGTAGTGGAGGAGGTATAACACAGGTAGTGGAGGAGGTATAACACAGGTAGTGGAGGAAGTATAACACAGGTAGTGGAGGAGGTATAACACAGGTAGTGGAGGAGGTATAACACAGGTAGTGGAGGAGGTATAACACAGGTAGTGGAGGAGGTATAACACAGGTAGTGGAGGAAGTATAACACAGGTAGTGGAGGAGGTATAACACAGGTAGTGGAGGAGGTATAACACAGGTAGTGGAGGAGGTATAACACAGGTAGTGGAGGAGGTATAACACAGGTAGTGGAGGAGGTATAACACAGGTAGTGGAGGAAGTATAACACAGGTAGTGGAGGAAGTATAACACAGGTAGTGGAGGAGGTATAACACAGGTAGTGGAGGAGGTATAACACAGGTAGTGGAGGAGGTATAACACAGGTAGTGGAAGAGGTATAAACAGGTAGTGGAGGAGGTATAACACAGGTAGTGGAGGAAGTATAACACAGGTAGTGGAGGAAGTATAACACAGGTAGTGGAGGAGGTATAACACAGGTAGTGGAGGAGGTATAACACAGGTAGTGGAGGAGGTATAACACAGGTAGTGGAGGAGGTATAACACAGGTAGTGGAGGAGGTATAACAGGTAGTGGAGGAAGTATAACACAGGTAGTGGAGGAAGTATAACACAGGTAGTGGAGGAGGTATAACAGGTAGTGGAGGAGGTATAACACAGGTAGTGGAGGAGGTATAACACAGGTAGTGGAGGAGGTATAACACAGGTAGTGGAGGAGGTATAACACAGGTAGTGGAGGAGGTATAACACAGGTAGTGGAGGAAGTATAACACAGGTAGTGGAGGAGGTATAACACAGGTAGTGGAGGAGGTATAACACAGGTAGTGGAGGAGGTATAACACAGGTAGTGGAGGAAGTATAACACAGGTAGTGGAGGAGGTATAACACAGGTAGTGGAGGAGGTATAACACAGGTAGTGGAGGAAGTATAACACAGGTAGTGGAGGAGGTATAACACAGGTAGTGGAGGAAGTATAACACAGGTAGTGGAGGAGGTATAACACAGGTAGTGGAGGAGGTATAACACAGGTAGTGGAGGAAGTATAACACAGGTAGTGGAGGAGGTATAACACAGGTAGTGGAGGAAGTATAACACAGGTAGTGGAGGAGGTATAACACAGGTAGTGGAGGAGGTATAAACACAGGTAGTGGAGGAGTTAACACAGTAGTGAGAGTAACACAGGTAGTGGAGGAGGTATAACACAGGTAGTGGAGGAGGTATAACACAGGTAGTGGAGGAGGTATAACACAGGTAGTGGAGGAGGTATAACACAGGTAGTGGAGGAGGTATAACACAGGTAGTGGAGGAGGTATAACACAGGTAGTGGAGGAGTATAACACAGGTAGTGGAGGAAGTATAACACAGGTAGTGGAGGAGGTATAACACAGGTAGTGGAGGAGGTATAACACAGGTAGTGGAGGAGGTATAACACAGGTAGTGGAGGAGTATAACACAGGTAGTGGAGGAGGTATAAACAGGTAGTGGAGGAGTATAACACAGGTAGTGGAGGAGTATAACACAGGTAGTGGAGGAGGTATAACACAGGTAGTGGAGGAGTATAACACAGGTAGTGGAGGAGGTATAACACAGGTAGTGGAGGAGGTATAACACAGGTAGTGGAGGAGGTATAACACAGGTAGTGGAGGAGGTATAACACAGGTAGTGGAGGAGGTATAACACAGGTAGTGGAGGAGGTATAACACAGGTAGTGGAGGAGGTATAACACAGGTAGTGGAGGAAGTATAACACAGGTAGTGGAGGAGGTATAACAGGTAGTGGAGGAGGTATAACACAGGTAGTGGAGGAGGTATAACACAGGTAGTGGAGGAAGTATAACACAGGTAGTGGAGGAGGTTAAACAGGTAGTGGAGGAGGTATAACACAGGTAGTGGAGGAGGTATAACACAGGTAGTGGAGGAGGTATAATACAGGTAGTGGAGGAGGTATAACAGGTAGTGGAGGAGGTATAACACAGGTAGTGGAGGAGGTATAACACAGGTAGTGGAGGAGGTATAACACAGGTAGTGGAGGAGGTATAACACAGGTAGTGGAGGAGGTATAACACAGGTAGTGGAGGAGGTATAACATAGGTAGTGGAGGAGGTATAACACAGGTAGTGGAGGAGGTATAACAGGTAGTGGAGGAGTTATAACACAGGTAGTGGAGGAGGTATAACAGGTGATGGAGAAGGTATAACACAGGTGGTGGAGGAGGTATAACACAGGTGGTGGAGGAGGTATAACACAGGTAGTGGAGGAGGTATAACACAGGTAGTGGAAGAGGTATAACACAGGTAGTGGAGGAGGTATAACACAGGTAGTGGAGGATGTATAACATAGGTAGTGGAGGAGGTTTAACACAGGTAGTGGAGGAGGTATAACAGGTAGTGGAGGAGGTATAACACAGGTAGTGGAGGAGGTATAACAGGTGATGGAGAAGGTATAACACAGGTGGTGGAGGAGGTATAACACAGGTAGTGGAGGAGGTATAACACAGGTGAAGGAGGTATAACAGGTAGTGGGGGAGTTATAACACAAGTAGTAGAGAAGGTATAACATTTATAATTGTCTGATGACATCTGATTTACAAAACACAGGAACAGTTTAGTTACTCAGCGCTTCCAAAATATAACATTTCTAACATCATCATTTTTACACCGTCATCAACACCTTGCTACTTTCGTGACTAGTTCCCAAGTATTGCATAAATCACAATCACAAAGCAGTGAAATCTAGGTTACGAATACAGCATAAATTAGTCACAAAACAGGGATGGGAGTAGGTGCTATGGGAGAGTGCAGGATGAGTGTCGTAGTACTCTGGGACAGTAAGTGATAGTATTGGATGTACTCTGGGAGAGTACAGTAAGGGTGTTGGAGTACTCTGGGAGAGTATAGTACAATAACAAAACAGTGAAAACTAAATTCTATGTCCGTATTGAACCCCGCGTCGTCGACCACGACAGCAAATTTAGATTAAGCGGAAATTATTCCCACCATTTACAGTAAAAGAGATGCCGGGTTTTTGGTGAAGCCAGTGGGAAGACTGGCACCCAGTGGGGAGAAGAGGCCCCTACCCCTAGGAACAAGCCACTCAAATAACCCACACATATGAATGAGATTATGACGACGCTCTGGTCCGACTTGGACCATTTACAAGTCACACTAACACAAATAATGTTTGTCAGGAAACAGGACAAGTATTTCCTGACGTGGATCTTAGTCATATGATGACCCACAGCTGGAACTTTTGGTCATCTGACCGAGGACTTCCGCTGGCTTACCCCTCCACTCCTTTAAAAATCATGGCATAACAAACATTGACTTATAAGTTATAATCCAGTGAGGACCATTTATAAGTTATCACAAAACTCGGGAATAAGTGTTGATTTGGTTATCTGGGTAATATACACATTAATAATTTATGACGTATTTATATGTACTGTACTGAAAAACTTCACTAGGAGCAGGGGGGAGTGACAATGTCATCCACAGACTGACATGATAACTGCTTCAGACATGACTGAGGCTTTACGCTAACGACACAAAGTTTATGTTACCCGCAATCCACATGTAGCTAACAATGAAGAATACGTACTTAATCCTTCCCCAATAAAAATAAGTGGAAACAAAGCTTATGATTATACACATCACAGGTGACTCATAAAATTTAACTTCGGCGATATAATTACAAGCGAGGTTATAAAGCATTATTAATTTATATTCATAATTTATTTTATCAGGAAAGAATCCCATAATGACAATAATAATATATTATATATAATATATATATGAATGATATATATGATATAATATATATAATATATATAATACAAGTATACTAACATATATATGATAAATAATAGTGACTCAATTCATAACAATGATTTCATTAACAACGGCGTATTCAGACATGACTGCCAGTAAACGGTTTTACTGTAAGACATACCGAAAGTTTATGTTGCTCCGCAATCCCTTACGCAACAATGGATACGGTACTGAGAATTCGTTCCACTTCCCCCTGGAATAAGAGGAAATAAAAATAATGAACTAGAAAGAAAAGTTAGATAAACACCAGAGGGTGGTATAAATTTACTTGGCGAATTAGTGTAGTGTACCTAGGTGTAATAGAAGTAGCAAGAGTACCTAAATTTCATGTTATCAGGAAAAAGACAGCCAGCATATCCTCACACATATATATATATATATATATATATATATATAATATATATATATATATATATATATATATATATATATATATATATATATATATAATATATTATTATTATTACTGCCAATAGCCTATCCAATTTTCCTCCTAAAATTTCCCTTATTGTAAAGGTTATCATTTGTGCCAGTTAGATCTGAAATTTAGAAAAAATAAACGCACTGGTGAATCTTGTGAAAAGAGTTGTTATTAGTACAGAGGAGGGGAGAAAGTGTCTCGCGGCTCGGCTGGCAACGCACTTACCTCCATGGTTCGATCCCCGGCACGGGTGGAAACGTTGGGTGTGTTTCCTTATACATCTGCCCCCCTGTTCACATTAGCAGTAAATAGATACTCAGGTGTTAGGGGACCGTCGTGGGTAGCATCCTGGGGGATGGGGTAGTATACCATAGGTAGTGTTGGGCTTTGAAATGAGCTGGGGTAGGACTGTTACCATTGTAATAACATTTATAGTCAGGTTCCCTGGCCATGCTGACGTCAGCATGGTCAGGGAACCTGACTATAAATGTTATTAAACTGGTAATCGGATGACAGCTGTAAGCCTGTAAAATTGAGGTGTATAATAAAATAAGTTACATTTATGTGAGAGCCTACTGATGGTTTATCGCAGGGGTGGGGAGTCATACATCACATGATGAATAAGGGGGGGAGGGTATAAACAGGTTTGATCTAAGGGGATTGTAACTTCCATTCCTTGGATCAAGAGTCATCAACATCAAGGCACCTCCCGCCCCCTGTCCCCACTTCTGAAGACAAGAGCCGTAAGAATATAAGATGGAGGAACACTGCAGCAGACCCACTTGCCCATACATGGTCCTTATCAAAACAACCAATACATTTGTCCAACCTTTTCTCAAAGTTACCCAAGGATTTGCTTCAATACCTCAGGTACATCGACTCCAGGCTGAGGGACTGATTACCTCAAACCCCTCATCTCCTTACCCATTTCTACTTTGTATTGGACGTTTCGCCACTGCGTGGCGAAACGTTTCCTTAATAAAGATTCACATATGTTACATGTCTCAATCTTCAACTTGTCGGTTTTCAAAACCATTCATCACAATTCAGGTACTGATCAAACCCAGCTTTTCACTCATATATTTGACCCTACTGGGTCAATTACCTATGTACTTACCTATGTCCTTTCTAAATCTAAATTTATCTACCTTGAATTCATATCTTCATATGGAAGATTCCTTATAAAATGAATCAATTTTGCTATCCTAACTCATGCCGGAACATTTTCAAGAAAAGGAAAAATCTCCCGACTTTTTAGGCAAAAATTTTTTTCTAGACTATCAACAACTTATGCTCATTTTACTATATTATTTTTTAACGAGGTTTCTAACGTCCTTTTCGTAACGCTTCCTGTAAAGTTACAAATATTATATTTTCTTTGGGGAAGTGAGAGGAATCCAGGTTGGATCCAAGGAAGGGGAGGATAAATCCGGTTGTTTGCATCAAGACTCCCTCACCGGCTTCAAGGCAGCGTCCACACACGAATACACACACACACACACACACAGTAGCGATCAGTGAAGAGGCGGGGCCAGGAGCTGAGTCTCGACCCCTGCAACCACAATTAGGTGAGTACAATTAGGTGAGTACACACTCCTAACTGCACGAGGCAAACGAGGGACACCTGTACAAGGGAGACGGTGCGGGACAGGTGTACTGTCCTATTTATTATTATTATTATTATTATTATTATTATTATTATTATTATTATTATTATTATTATTATTATTATTTGGTGGATAGTTCACGAACGTCCTAATACAAACACCAAAATGTCAGCAAAAATTTTAACAAATCTATCCTATTTACAGGTAGACAGTCTCCCACCCGTCAGTACCTCACTGCTGATCCATCCCCCGAGTCCCACTTACCTGAGAAACCTCGGGGCTCTGACGAAGAACACATGAAGAGCAATATCTTCGAGACTTCAGAGCAGGAGGACAGAGTCTTGGTGAAGAAGGAAGACAACCAGAATGGCGAACACTATTTAAAGGGACAAATTACTGACTTGAATGTTGGTACTGAAAAGACGAGGAATCTTGGGAATGGTGCAGTGCAAAGAGAGAATGTGGAAGGGTTTGTGTGGCCGGGTGTCGAACCTGCGGGGAAGAACGATCGTGAGGGGCGACATTTCCCAAGCCATGATGAGGATTCATTCTTTGCGTCTTTCGAACGATTCTTTGCGGAACAGTTCAAGGCTAAGACCTCCTCTGAGTCAAAATCCGAACGGATTCGTTCCAATGGCTCGCTTAGCGGAGGCTTCGAAGACGAGAACAATGAGCAGACTGACGAAGATCAGAGCTGGAATGGAGATTTCCAGAAACAAGATGTTTCCTATGTAGACAATAAATTTACCTCTCATCAGAATTACAGAAGGCCACAAACTAATGCTAACCATAAGCAGCATACTGTACCACAATATGAAGCACCACTGCAATCTTTTTCGTCATCGCCCTCATTAATCTTTGGATTTAAAATATCTCCTAAATATTCTAATTCTTTTCTTAATCAGTCCACTCCTCAGTCTCTGCTTGCTACCTCCCGAGAATCCTCTCTAGATCAAGCACCTCGGGATGTGCAGTTGTCGGCGGCATCGATCCCGGCATCAGTTATTACACCTACGCCATTTCCCTTTTATCAATCAAAGAAATTTCCATCTTCGTCAGTTACTCCAACTCTAGTTCTTCCTTCAACGCCTCCTTCCAAGGTGATTCCTACACACCCAACTCCTTATTTACTGCCACTGCACTTAGATGATGCACCGTATAACCCAATAAATAAAGAAAAATCTCCTGTAAGCAACATATCTGAGCCTCCGGAGACACTTACCTCCTGTTTCAAGGATATACTGAGTCACAAGGAGCAGCCTTCGATAGATTTTTATCATTTCGATTTTCAGAAAACATCTAAAGCTCATTTGTCAAAAGGTGAAGTGGCATTCAATGCATTTCTTGATAAAGGAGACGCCGACACTGAAGCTTCAGTATCCTACGTACAAGAAACTGCTTCACCAACACCAATCAGTAATCAGGCATCTCTTCCGAAACCTTTGCTGCATTTGACGCCCCAAACAACACAGCCGATTGTATTGACCTCTCCCGACGCTTCAGCCTCATATCCTCTACCTGCGCTTCTTTTTCCTCCTCCTCTCCCGCCTCCTTTCCATCCCTTTCGTCCTCTTAATCCTCCTACCCACCTACTTCCAACTCATCCTCATTACAACCTTTTTAACAGAGGCAAAATCAAAGATTCTCAGTCTAAAAATTCTGTCAGTCTTTTAAGAGTAAAGGAAAGACCTGCTCAGCCTCTCCACGAGTCAGTCAAAGAAGACACTGGACATTATTATTACAATCAAAAAGAAGACACTGGACAATCTCTGGGGTATGTTGACACACCTACTACTAAAAGACCATCACACACAAGTAAAACTTATCTACAAAATTCTGACAACAAAAGCACAAATGCTGTTGCTACTTTAGTTAATGGTAGGCACTCTGTTCACCATGTTCAACATCTTCCTTTTGTCCAAGATAACATGGCAGTTCGCGCTAATGTTGAGAGCAGAAGGCCTCAAGGCAACCACAAGAGCAGGATTCCCATTTTGTATCAAGTAATCAAGAGACCCTTGAAAGGTGAAGGAAACAGAGGACCTCATTCTAGATTCCGAAATGGAAAACGACTCTCGAGACCCCAAGACTATCACGATAATCGCAGGCTGGTAAACACTCTCGCAAGCTCGAGTTTTGGCAATACTCGGGGAAGCATTTATGGTCTGGATTCAGAAGCTGATACGAGAAAAATCTCTCAACTAAGTGGGCCTCATCAGTTACCCATGAGACCTCCAGAGTATCACCTTAAACCTCCACCTGCTAATTTCGACAACGACAGAAATAAAGAAAATATGGAAATTCAAGTACATAAACATGATGGAAATAAAAAGTCACTTCAAGAAAGCCTCTTATGCAATGAAACAAAAGAAAATGAAAAGTGTTTCCAGTCATCTCCGAGTGGTGGAGGTCTTGTGGGTAGTCAGACAACTGAACCATCGCAAAGTTTCCAGTATTTGAAATTATCAACTATACATCCTCATCAGTCTAGACCAACAGGTCATGTCACAGGACCTCCTTCTCCACCGTCTTTCCCTTCCGTTGAGCAGTATACCCCACCTCCACGCTATAATTCTTTTGGTCTTTTATCTTACCGACCGCCACCTCGCCGGCCAAAACACCATGAGACAAGGAAGTCCCTCTCGCCTCCATTACCATCCCCAGCATCCAATAATAAGCCTTCGACTTACTCCAGTCAAACCAGAAACCCAAGAGCTCATCTTCCTCATCCAGATAGAGTAGTTGTCAACCTCACATCTCCAACAGGAAGTAGAACTCACTTTAGGAACTTTCTTCCTCAGAGCAAATCCACTTCTCTCGGGTCTTCGGAAGGAGATAATCCACGTTTTCGACCGGGCAAAGAATCAGAAAGTGATTTCAAGCCCATGTACGAAGTCTCGCAGCCAATTCCAAAGGTTCCAAACCCTAGCGGATCTCGAATGTCAGAGAGTCATGCAGAGATGATGAAGAACATGCAATACGGCGTCAATGGAGTACCTCTTGATATTTGGATTCCCATATAGATTATTAATCGTTTATAAAATACTGAATTAAAAAATGCCAACTTCCTTACCTGTAAAACATCACTGAGAATTCTATATTTTTATATTTTTTTTCTACTACGACTGTGACTTATCATCAGTTTCTAGCTGTTGTGATGCCAGTATCTCCTAACATTTATTTCTCCTACTGTCAAATTCGAATACGCATTTTTACTTATCTTATCCTTCATTATATTCCTCAAAGTTTACCTGCTTCTGCAACAAACCATTTACAGTCATATAACAACGAAGGGTTAATCACTGAAAAAATATTCGTCACAAAAATTACGCAGTATCACAACAACGATGATCACCACGACCACGGAAACGACGACCATGCAGGACATTGCAAACAACGATCCCGACTCCTCGGTACAAAGATACACCTCTAGCCTGCCCTTCCTCACACATACGTTAAGATAATACTCTTCCATAAAAAAAAGAATACAGAGATCACTGGGGGTGATTATGAAGCGGTGAGCGCTGCAAGCTCAATGAGAACAAAGGAAGAAGGATAACGAAGAACCATCGAGTGTATAACACCTGCAGCATAGGAAAACTGTTTATTAAACGGCCTTTCGACCTGAACTAATGTGACTACTAGAGCACTACTGAGGGCGAAATGTGTATTACAAACAGTCGCCCTTCTACGAGAGCTTTACACTCTGAGTAGAAAAATAAATCTTGTCCAACAGAGAAATATGACTGATGTGGATTAAATGGCATTGTAAAGAGGAAATGATTGATTGTTTGACAGAACAGATTGTAAACAATCTCAATATGTATATTGGATGAAAAAACATCTGTAGTCGAATAAAATGGTACTAAAGATATTTGTTTAATTAATTCCCATATATATAATAAAACTCAATAATAGATTCAGAAAAGTTATTTAAAATATTTATATAAAGTAAAAGTTAAATACATGAGGGAATAAGCACGCTTTTCCAGGCAAGTAGATGAACAATAACAATAATAATAATAATAATAATTATAATTAATAATAACAATAATAATATAATAATAATAATAATAATAATAATAATAATGATAATAATAATAATAATAATAATATTAATATAATAATAATAATAACTTAAATATAATAATAATAATAATAATTGTAATAATATGATAATAATAATTAATTATATTTTGTAAATTAATAAATAATTAATAAATAATAATAATATATCCGCTTACCTGATGAGCACAAGTGATATACAAGACTTCAACATCATGAAAAAACATCAAGAGTAAGACACTTGGTGAGCGGGCGAAACGTTTCGCCCGCTCATCAAGTGTCTTACTCTTGATCTTTCGCCCGCTCACCAAGCTCTAAGTCGAAGATAACGCTGGAGATTAGAAGTAGTTTTGATGTAGTCAGCCTGTCAGTCGTGAGAGCAGGTGGTCAGTTACCCAAGACTTGTTGAGGTCTTGATGTGTATTGCGTGGACTTATTACCCTAGTAACCAGCACCGAAGGTACCTCTGAATCCTATGTTGGCCTTCTGGAGAGGGATAACTGTAATCTCCCATATGCTGTTCCTTTGTAGAGGGATAACTATAATCTCCCATTAATGTTGTTCCTTTGTAGAGGGATAACTATCATCTCCCATTAATGTTCCTCTCTAGAGGGATAACTGTAATCTCTTATCACTGTTGTCTCTCTGTAGAGGAATGACTGTAATCCCCTGTCAGTGTTGTTCCTCTGTAGAGGGATACCTGTAAACTCCTGTCAATGCTGTACGTCCATAGAGGAGGAGCTGTAATCTCCCACTCACGCTACATACAGTACATTTCTGGAACCATTCACAACTACCTCACAATTAAGAACTCAGTCCTCTTCATGAGCGATGAATCTCTCCTCTTCCTGATAAATTAGACACATGTTTATTGAGGAAAAGTTTCGCCACACAGTGGCTTCATTAGTCCAGCGCAAAGAACAGTGAAGATCAGAAAGAAATTGAGGTAATCAGTCCCTCAGCCTGGAGTCGATGTAATCAGTCCATCAAGTCGTGAAAACTTCCTGATGAGAGTGACGACCTCTATCACATCAGTGGCTACAAGAAAGGTGGTAGTAACTGCAATACTCCGTGTTCGAAACCTTCATTTTAATGAAATATTCCAGAAGGAATTTTCAGACGATGTTTCGACTCGCTGTAAACCAATAACGAGGGGAAACGTCGTCTAGTTTCCTTTTGATACTGCAGGTTGATGTTGAATTATAACTTTGTGACCTGTGTGGTGAAAATAATGTCTGCAGTGGAGATGTTGCATGTATTTAGATCGTCTGATGTATCTCACAGAGACGAGACTCGTGTAGTGGGGATAGGACTTGTGTAGTGGACACAAGACTTGTGTAGTGGACATAGGACTTGTGTAGTGGACACAAGACTTGTGTAGTGGACACAGGACTTGTGTAGTGGACACAGGACTTGTGTAGTGGACACAGGACTTGTGTAGTGGACACAGGACTTGTGTAGTGGACACAGGACTTGTGTAGTGGACACAGGACTTGTGCAGTGGACACGGGACTTGTGTAGTGGACACAATGCTTGTGTAGTGGACACAGGACTTGTGTAGTGGACACAGGACTTGTGTAGTGGACACAGGACTTGTGTAGTGGACACAGGACTTGTATAGTGGACACAATACTTGTGTAGTGGACACAGGACTTGTGTAGTGGACACAGGACTTGTGTAGTGGACACAGGACTTGTTTAGTGGACACAGGACTTGTATAGTGGACACAATACTTGCGTAGTGGACACAGGACTTGTGTAGTGGACACAGGACTTGTGTAGTGGACACAATACTTGTGTAGTGGACACAGGACTTGTTTAGTGGACACAAGACTTGTGTAGTGGACACAAGACTTGTTAGGGACAACTGTTAGTGGACACAATACTTGTGTAGTGGACACAGGACTTGTGTAGTGGACACAGGACTTGTGTAGTGGAACAATTGTGGTGCATGGACACATTGTGTAGTGGACAACAATACTTGTGTAGTGGACACAGGACTTGTGTAGTGGACACAGGACTTGTGTAGTGGACACAAACTTGTGTAGTGGCACAAACAGGAAGGACTTGTTTAGTGGACACAGGACTTGTGTAGTGGACACAATACTTGTGTAGTGGAACAGACTTGTGTAGACACAGACTTGTTAGTGGACACAATACTTGTGTAGTGGACACAGACTGTAGTGGACACAAGACTTGTGTAGTGGACACAGGACTTGTGTAGTGGACACAATACTTGTGTAGCGGACACAGGACTTGTGTAGTGGACACAAGACTTGTGTAGTGGACACAGGACTTGTGTAGTGGACACAATACTTGTGTAGTGGACACAGGACTTGTGTAGTGGACACAGACTTGTGTAGTGGACACAGGACTTGTGTAGTGGACAATGACTTGTGTAGTGGACACACGACTTGTGTAGAGGGCACAGGACTTGTGTAGTGGACATAGGACTTGTGTAGTGGACACAGGACTTGTGTAGTGGACACAGGACTTGTGTAGTGGACACATGACTTGGGTAGTGGACACAGGACTTGTGTAGTGGACACAGGACTTGTGTAGTGGATATAGGACTTGAATAGTGGACACAGGACTTGTGTAATAGACTTAAGACTTGTGTAGTGGACTTAGGACTTGTGTAGTGGACACAGGGCTTGTGTAGTGGACACAGGGCTTATGTAGTGGACATAGGACTTGTGTAGTGGATATAAGACTTGTGTAGTAGACATAGGACTTGTGTAGTGGACTTACGACTTGTGCAATGGACTTTGGACTTGTGTAGTGGACTTAGGACTTGTGTAGTGGGCTTAGGACTTGTGAAGTGGACTTAGGACTTGTGTAGTGGACACAGGAATTGTGTAGTGGACATAGCACTTGTTTAGTGGACATAGAACTTGTGCAGTTTACTTAGGACTTGTGTAGTGGACTTAGGACTTGCTTGGTGGACATAGGACTTGTGTAGTGGACATAGGACTTGTGTAGTGGACTTAGGACTTGTGCAGTGGACGTAGGGCTTGTGTAGTGGACTTAGGACTTGTGCAGTTTACTTAGGACTTGTGTAGTGGACTTAGGACTTGTGTAGTGGACATAGGAATTGTGTAGTGGACATTGGACTTGTGTAGTGAACTTAGAACTTGTGTAGTGGACTTAGGACTTGTGTAGTGGACTTAGGACTTCTGCAGTGGACTTAGGACTTGTGTAGTGGACTTAGGAATTGTGTAGTAGACACAGGACTTGTGTAGTGGACATAGGACTTGTGTAGTGGACATAGGACTTATGTAGTGGACATAGGATTTGTGTAGTGGACATAGGACTTGTGCAGTGGACTTAGGACTTGTGTAGTGGGCATAGGACTTGTGTAGTGGACACAGGGCTTGTGGTGTGGACATAGGACTTGTGCAGTGGACTTAGGACTTGTGTAGTGGACATAGGACTTACGTAGTGGACACAGGACTTGTGTAGTGGACATAGGACTTGTGTAGTGGACATAGGACTTGTGTATGTCTCGGAGACTTGTATATTAGAAACTGACTTCCGCAACATAGAAAGGTTTTACAAGTAGCAAAGTACGATACTTGTAAACATAAGTACACAGTACCAACAATACTGGAAGAAAGTATCATATTTTCGGCATATAAGGCGCGCTTTTTTTCCCACAAAAATCCTTTGAAAATCAGCCTGCGCCTTGTAGACTCAAGGTTAAGGTTAAGGGTAGCCTTTGGGTCACGCTTTAGAGTAGGTAAGAGAGGGTAATTAACCCGTGAATACGATTACTGATTTACCGTGATGATACTTCTGTCGTGCGCCTTATATGCCGGAAAATACTGTATGCACTACCAAAAAGACTGGAGTATATCACGTTAATTTCAGTTCTTCCTCCAGGAACACTTGTTTGGCTGCGTGTTATCAGAATCATTTGTATCACACTTCCTCGCTGCTCCCCCCTCCTCCCCGCCGCTCCCCGCTGATCCCCGCTTCTCCCTGCTCCTCCCCACCTATCCTCCCTACTCCCTCCATTCACTTTTACCTTCTCCATCCCTGTTCCATCACACATCATTCATCACCCTTATCAATTTCTTTCGTCTTTCCCCGCCTCTTTCCGCCCCTTCCCCGCCTCTTTCCGCCCGTTCCGCGCCTCTTTCCGCCCGTTCCGCGCCTCTTTTCGTTACATTTGTGCGTGGCACCAGTGACGGGTGGGGGTGGGGGGTTGCAACATGGGGATGCAACAGTTGCATATTTACAAATAAAATATCGACTCTTGCAGTAAGAGAGCAGGTGTGTTGTAGATAACCGAGCGTCCATGACCAGGCTGACTCCTTGGTGGCTGGTTAACGAGGCTGACTCGTTGGTGGCTGGTTAACGAGGCTGACTCGTTGGTGGCTGGTTAACGAGGCTGACTCGTTGGTGGCTGGTTAACGAGGCTGACTCGTTGGTGGCTGGTTAACGAGGCTGACTCGTCGGTGGCTGGTTAACGAGGCTGTCTCGTTGGTGGCTGGTTAACGATCATGACTCCTTGGTGGCTGGTTAACGATCCTGACTCCTTGGGGGCTGGTTAACGATGCTGACTCGTTGGTGGTTGGATAACGAGGCTGACTCGTTGGTGGCTGGTTAACGAGGCTGACTCGTTGGTGGCTGGTTAACGAGCTTGACTCGTTGGTGGCTGGTTAACGAGGCTGACTCGTTGGTGGCCGGTTAACGAGGTTGACTGGTTGGTGACTGGTTAACGATGCTGACTCTTTGGTGGTTGGTTAACGAGGCTGACTCGTTGGTGGCTGGTTAACGAGGATGAC